AGGAACTTACTGTAGACGCTGAGCAGAGACAAGCGAAGTGTGAAGGTCGCCAGGTCCTGACCTCTGAAGGTTCAGAGAATTGTTCCCTGAAGGACCAATATTTGGATGAGCAGCTAAGCTGAGACAGAATTGGGCAAGAATGTTCTAGGGAAAGAACCATTGTGCAAAGTTCCTGGGACCCAAAGCTATGAGCACAGGACGAGTGGCTGTCATACCAGGAAATATACAAGCAGGTGACCTCAAGAGTGGGGGTCACACCTCCCTAACTTTATTCCAAGGTGGAAAGGCATTTCAAGAATGTCAGCAGAATGACCTCTTAACATGATACATGATACAGATGAGGTGTTCGAGTTATGTGGGCTAAGTGATCATAGGGATGCAAAATAGATGTATTTAGGACATAATTAGAGGTAAATTGGACTGAGAGATGAACTTGCTTGACTAGGTGGGAGGTGGGCCATTTAGTGAAGAAAACAGGTCCAAGGTAAGTTTAGCTTGGGATTCTTGGCAATGACAGGTCTGTTTAGAGATTTGATGGCACTCCTCCGAGGCCATATTTGTGGCATTCTGACCTAACTCCACTTCCTGACATCCTCCAGTAAGCAGCAGTGAATGCAGGGCTGGCACTTGTGTTTGATCGACTTTGGCATGCAGGAAGGCCCAAGAACCCATTTTCCTTCAGGTGTCAGTGGCGCCCCCTGGAGTCTTGTCACCTAAAGTGTCCACTTGGTGACATCTTTAGAAAGCAGTTGCATCTAGGTTAGGGTAGGAGGGGCAATTGTGCCCATGAAGTTAGAGCAGGATGGTTGCCAGGACTTCTAGACGAATCCCAGCTGCAGAGTAGGGTCATTTTTTTACAATCGGGAAGGGACAGAGTCATCTGGAAAGGTTGCCGTCTTCCTGTGAATCTGCGCCCATCTCTGGATAGAGAAATAGACTTTCACAGGCTGGCGAGGCATCAGAAGCCTCAATGAGTAAGACTTGGTTTTTCGTTCTCAAATGTGCCAGTTTAGGCTGTAGTTTGGCATTTTAGCCAGCTACCTAACTCCCCAGAGTGGAGACCATGGGTTTCCAGCCCTTGTCCCACGTGAACTGCAGTTCCACAGAGGAAGGGCCTGTGATTTGTGGCGCACCAGATTCTGGGTGGGTTTGATTGCAGGCTAAAACAGTTAAATAGAAAAAGCAGCTCAACTGGTTTTCACGCCAAGATCTTGATAAGACCAGAAGTGTCCCTGGGTCAAAGACTTACTCTTGGCCTTGTGTAGACTTTATTACTATAGATAAGCCTTCCCAGTAAACTGTGAACCCTGTAACCCTGAAAGGACCCCTAAGGTTTGTAATCTCAGAAAAAAGATCCATTCTGTCCCTCCCCTGCTCTGCTTGGTCACATGCCTGCCATTTGACTCACTATGAACTAAGGGGCAACAGTTGAGCTGCCCCATTGCATGAAAGGCTGGCAATGGTCCTCTCTGCCTGAGATGCATTTCTAAGTCTGGGTGTCTCCTTTTATGTGCTGAGCTGAGCTGGTGTCACTCACTTCCTCGAACCTGATCCAACAATCTGTCAAAGCTTACCCTCTGTATTTGGATTAGTGAATAGAACAAAAGCCAAAATAACAATAAGTTTAAAGGTTTACTTCTTGGAAGTGGTGACTCAACATCTAAATGCTTGCCTTGCAAGCCTCACCTGAATATAATCCATAGCACCCACTGAAAAGAAAGAATTAACTTCCAAAACATGTCTTCTGACTACCACATGCCCACTTTTGCACACTGGGACTGGTTTGCCAGTTTGTGCAGGCAGGGGGATTGATCTCAGCTCCTGTTATTCTGCATTCCATTTTCATCTCTTAAGTGTGGTAGCACATTCTTATAAACCCAGCATTGGACACCTGGGGCAGGAGGATCGTGAGTTCAAGGCTATCCCATGCAACATAACTCGCAAAATCACATGCATGAGCACCAAAGGGGTGGGGAGCATTGAGTTGTCGTCAATCCTTTTTTTCTAACACTGAAAGGTAGATGGCCTTTGAGAATGCAAAACAAGAGACTTCTAGTTACTAGTACAGCCATTTCAGAAGTCTGTCTACTGAAAGGAAGCATACTTGATGAGGGTATCCTGTTTGCCACTCCTAGGTATTTATCAAAAGTATTTACTGGTGTTCTCTGAGACACACTTAGTAGGTTCACATGTGCCTGCTGTTTTCAGCTACCTAGATGGGAGGATCATAAGCCAAGGTTGGAGACCAACCCGAGAGAAAATTGTTCAGAACACTTTCTAGTATGTGTGATCATCCCAGACTGAAACTAACCCAGTGCCATCAGCATTGAGGTGTATTCCATCTTGATTATGAAATGTTATAGTTCTGAAAAGGAACAAGACAGCCACACAGTGTGATGTGGATTAATAAAACTTAGAATCAAAGGAAGATACAAGAATGTGCCTGCCATGTTTGTTCATTTACACAGCTCACAAACAAGTGAGATTACAATTAAAAACCCAGCCGGGCAGTGGTGGCGCTCACCTTTAATCCCAGCACTCGGGAGGCAGAGGCAGGTGAGCCCCTGTGAGTTTGAGGCCAGCCTGGTCTACAAGAGCTAGTTCCAGGACAGCTAGGACTGTTACACAGGGAAACTCTGGAAAAACCAGAAGCCCAGGGTGTGGATCAGTTGTAGGAAGAGTACGTTCCCGGTTCTGGTTCAATTCCAGCACCACGCACATAAAGAAGTGGGTCATGGTGAGTCAGGCTTGAATCTCAGCACTTAGGATTGCTGTGGATGAAATAGGGCACCAACATAGTTCTGGGCTACTGTGTGAGATCCTCTCTCAAAAGGGCAAGGTGGAGGGGTTTGCTATCATTTAGGGGATAAGCAAGTGAAAGCAGACCTGCTCGTGGCATCTAGATTGGAGGGGGGTCTGGGTAGGGTATCCATACTGTTAAAACTCAAAAACATACTTTAAAAAAAAATGTGGTCTTACTATGTAGCCCTGGCTGTCCTGGAATTTGTTCTGTAGACCAAGCTGGCCTCAAACTCACAGATATCAGTCTGCCCTCTGCCTCTGAGTACTAGGATTAAAGGCATATACACTTTTTCCTGTGTGTTTTGACTGAAACTTTAAAAAAAAGTAAATGAAAAATTAAAAGTAATAAGAGATGTGTGCCTGGCAGGTGTGCCCCTGCCTGCATTTCCTTAGTCTTCAATAGGAGCTCTCGTGGAGGGAAACGGTCCATCTAAGAAACTTGATTTCCCAAAGAGAAAACAGCCCAAGCTAGCATTCACATAGTAACAAGCCAGAGGGCATGGAATGAACTAACAAAAGGCTGAAACTGTCAGGGGATTTTTGTAATTTAGTTATGGGATGAGAACATATTAAATCGCATCCATGTACTATTTGTTTGTTTGAAGGGATCCTGCTCCATAGCCAAAGCTGGCGTGACACCTGGAGTGACCCTTCTGGTTTGCCTTCCTAACTGGGCTTGCTGGTGTATGCCACCTGGCCAAGTGTACCTATCTTGGAACTTGCAAATCAGAAAGAAGCTAGATACAGAGTATCAGAGACCACCACCATCTTTCCTGTGATATCCCAGGACACTGGGACACCTGCCGCTTCCACTTCTTCATTATTATTAATTGTATTTGCAACTAGCAAACCTAGCTGATTCTGGAGGCCATGGTTCCAGGTGAGCAGACATACACCGACAAACACTCTGGGAGGTGTGCCGTGTGCTGTGTGACCCCGAACAAACTTCTTAAACATCCAGCAGTCTGTTTTCTCATTTAAAAAGAATGTTCATAAATCCTCAGAGGTTTTCTATGTGCTCTGTCATGCCATCTTCATATGGAGGGCTATATGGAACGACAGGTGACGTTAATTATCTTGGAAATCCACTTAAAGCTAGCCTGGATTCTGTTGGAAGTTGCTTTGTCTAGTCCCCAGAGTGGCAGTGTTGGGATCTAAACTAAAGGGTTAGTTGAGGTGACCCTAAAAAGAGACAGTCAGGGATTCTGGATTCTGTGAAAAACAGGTGGAACTCTGATGTCCTGGCTACCCTTCCTACCTCCATTTCTGAGAATCAACCTTGTGACACAAAATCGGTGTGGCAAGTGAGAGCCCCCGCCCATGACTTTGCACTTTGCTTTCTGAGGCCCAGTGAAACAAGTTGAGTTCATCCAAAGTCCACAGAGAACCAGGAGACAACACGTGGGGGAAGGGCAGTAAAGAGCAGTGGGAAGTGCCTCTCCCAAAATCCTTGTGTATTAGCTTGATTTTCGTGTAGGCAGGAAACTGCCGTTTCCCTGCTGTGTCCTCAGTGAAGGAATGGGTCAGGCACAGAGCACAGGGGCTTGCTTAGCACGTGGCAAATCAACAAAGTTGAGGGTGCAGCTTTGTTTGCTTCTGACAGTTTTTTTTTTAAGATTAATGTGTGTTTCAGTTATGAAAATACGACTCTTCCTTATTAAGACCTAGGGTAGACAAACTCGGTGGTGGCATGTCTATAATGCCAGCACTTGGCAGGCTGACGCAACAGATGTTCACCGCCAGTTTAATCTGCATAGTGGAACTCTATCTTTTAAATGTCTAGCCGGGCGGTGGTGGCGCACGCCTTTAATCCCAGCACTGGGGAGGCAGAGGCAGGCGGATCTCTGTGAATTCGAGGCCAGCCTGGTCTCCAAGAGCTAGTTCCAGGACAGGCTCCAAAACTGTCTTGTCTCAAAAAAACTAAACTAAACTAAACTGTCTAGGTTACTGCAGAGGACCCTACCTACCTCAATGACCTCTGTGGGTGTGACAAGCAATTTCTTTCTAGAACCCATTGGGGTCTCTCAGAACAGAGATGTATCAATAGCGCATTGCTGGAGTCCTCACTACATGCACTAGGGGAGACAGCCTGAGACCCAAATCAGTCTAGGTACTTCCCCGGGTGTCCCCATTCCTGGGAAGTGGGGACGCTGGCGGGGGAGGGCAGCGGGGTAGAGAAACGCTGAGAGAATCACGGGTTGAGATTGTGACCTTAAGAAGCAGGAGGACGACGGGACTGCGTGGGACCGGGAGCACGGAGGCTACGGGGTAACGGAAGGAACAAAGACCGGAGACCGGCTTGGTGACGCCCAGAGCAGGGCGGGGCGAGAAGTAATGTCAAGTCGGCGCGGGTCGCGAGCTTCTGCGTCTGTGTGGAGCCGGTGGAGCAGCCGCTGCCTCTCTGGTCTCTTTCCCTGAACCAGGTAGGTGCCGGGCCCCGGGGTGGAAGCCGCTGAGCCGTGGGGGCGCTGTGCAGCCGAGCGGGGGACGCTGGAGCCCGGGTCACGCTGCTTTCAGGGTGGTCAGGCCTGTCTGGAAGCCCCCACCCCGCTACACGTTTTTCTTTCATAGCTGAGCCAGAGGTGTCCCGAGGTGTTTAGGATGCAGTCAGGTTCCTGGTTGGGCCTCGGCCTACCCACTTGAGCAGTAAGAGTCCCTTTAAAGTGGTCTTCCTTTATCAAGCTGATTTAAATCCTCCTCTTTGTCACATTTCTCTGAGCGCCCTCCCCTACCCACACCTCTCTATCTGTGCCTGCTTGGCAGCATTCTGAATGAATCCGCCCCCTCAAATTCAAAGAGACAGTTTTGTCTGCAGTCAGGTCTGTCTGGGGGAGAAAGCTGCAATCGGTCTCTGACTCCGGAACGCGTCTGGGCATTGGGTCAGTTGCCCTTCTGAGTTGGCCTCGGTGGCAGTTGTTATTACAAACTCTAGCAAGGATGGAGAAGCTGCAGCTCAGACCCAGGTAGGAACAGACTCTCTTCTGTCCCACCCTGTACAGGCTCAGCATAACCCAATTTTTGAAAGAATATAAATATAGTTAAGCAAAGTCCAGTTGAAGGGAACCCTGTCTGGACATTTGGGTTCTAATCCTGGCTGTTTTTTTTTAATGTTTATTTATTTATTATGTATACAATATTCTGTCTGTGTGTATGCCTGCAGGCCAGAAGAGGGCAGCAGACCCCATTACTGATGGTTGTGAGCCACCATGTGGTTGCTGGGAATTGAACTCAGGACCTTTGAAAGAGGAGGCAATGCTCTTAACCTTTGAGCCATCTCTCCAGCTCCCTCCTGGCTGTTTTTGCAGACGGACTGTGACCATAGGCAAGAAACTGCCTCTCACTGGCTCCATCCTCCCCTCTCCAGCCATGTTGCTCGTCAGACCAGGGACCATCCTCTCTTTTGACATTACTAGTAGGTTTTTGGTTTTTTTTGATGAAGTTGGAGACTTTATTACTGATATTTTAATATAGGCTTAATCATGAGAGTCAGGAGAAAGTCGGGCATACTCAAGCGTGGGTCTTCAAAGAAGGATCACATTTACTATTAATTTTAATAGTGTCATGGGCTCAGATGGCCTGGGTTCAGTTCTCGGCACACACACACACGCACACACACACACACACACACACACACACACACACGGCAGCTCACAACTGTCTGAAACTTCTGTTCCAGGGCATTTGACACCTTCTCTGGCTCCACAGGCGCCAAACGTGACTGAGGTGTACTTACATGAAGGCAAAAGACAGCATAAAGATATCAGCAATCTTAACTGCTTCCCAACTTGGACCTACAAAGCTGTGTAGCTGAGCTCAGCTCCACTGGAACACTATGCCCAGCCTCAAGGCCCCAGAACTTCACCTGCAGGGGAAATGTCCCGAGGTCAGAGACTAACTTTGTCTACAGAGAAACCCTTATCATTTAATGCCTAGGAATGCTGCAGGGGCTAGAAATCCGTCTTCTTCCCCAACATACAGCTCATAAGATGCCCAGAAATTTGGTTTGAAGCGTATGCATAAATAATTTCATTTAGTACAAAAATCTATGTTGGGTTTATTTTTTGAGACAGGTTCAGCCCAGGTTGGTCTCAGGCTTGCTATGTAGCCAAGGATGACTTTGAACTTCTGATTCTCCTGCCTTCTCCTCCTAGTCGCTGGGATTATAGGTGTATGTGCTATGCCAAGCTTATTCGGTATGGGGATCAACCCAGGCTTTATGTGTGCTAGGCAAGCACTCTACCAAATGAGGCACAGGTATTCAGAGAGTAATTTCTCAGGACATGAACTTTGTCCTTCGGAATGTTGACCCAAGTCTCTAACATCAGGGTCCATCTCACCTGCCAATGTTCATTCCAGGATCTTGTACCGAAAGACATTTCCAAAGTGCCTCGTGTCTGCCTATAACTCTGACCTACACAGCCTGGAAGCTGTAGAGGAGACCTGAACCAGTTTAGTAACTTCTTTGATCTGTGACTTACAGTGACCTTGCTGTCCATGGCCCACCGGCTGCAGATGCGTCTTCTGACATGGGATGTAAAGGATACCCTGATCAAGCTCCGCCGTTCTGTTGGGGAGGAGTATGCCAGCAAGGCCCGGGCCCATGGGCTGGTGGTAGAAGCCACAGCCCTGGAACAAGCCTTTGGGCAGGCATACCGGGCTCAGAGCCACAACTTTCCCAACTATGGCCAGAACTGTGGCCTTACCTCCCGTCAATGGTGGAAGGACTTGGTCCTCCACACCTTCCACCTGGCAGGGGTCCCAGATGCCCGGGCCATTACTCCCATTGCTGATCATCTCTATGAAGACTTCAGCAGCCCCTCCACCTGGCAGGTGCTGGAGGGGGCCGAGACTACCCTGAAGGAGTGCCACAAGCGGGGTCTGAGGCTGGCTGTGATCTCCAATTTTGACCGACGCCTAGAGGACATCCTAGTAGGCCTCGGCCTGCGAGAACATTTTGAGTTTGTTCTGACTTCTGAGGCTATGGGCTGTCCTAAACCAGACCCACGAATTTTCCACGAGGCCTTGCAACTTGCTCATGTAGAACCTGCAATGGCAGCTCATATTGGGGATAGTTACCCCTGCGATTACCAGGGGGCTCGGGCTGTGGGCATGCACAGCTTCCTGGTGGTAGGTCCAGAGCCTTTGCACTCCTCAGTCAGAGATTCTGTACCTAAAGAGCACATTCTGCTCTCTCTGTCTCATCTCCTGCCTGCCCTGGACCTTCTGGAGGCCTCAAGTCTGATGAGGGAAGGAGGTGGGACCAAATAAACATTGGAAGCAAGGAGTCCCTTCTTTCTCCCCTCCCCTGCCTTCCCTCCGCAATCTCGATAAACTATTCTGATCCTAGAACAGCAAGAGCTTGGCAGTAGCTTAGTTTTTGAGTTCACTCATTATTCATACCTCCGTCCCTCTTTATTTATTATATGGGGGTGTGGGTTAGAGGCTAATTTTATAGACTCTGGTCTCTCCATCTTCCCATGGGTTCTGGGGATGGGACTGAGATCATGTGCACATGTGCTACTATGCACCCGGCTGTCTCACCAGTTCCCTCTGTCCCTCCTCTGTCCCTTCTATCGTAACCTGCTCCATATCCACGGAGGGACCCTATTCACAACCAGGTTGATGTGAACTGTCTCTAGTCCACACTGGCCTGGAGCTCGTGGTCTTTCACCATCAGCCTTCTGAATCCTAGAATCACAGGTGTGAGCCACTTTTAAGAGCTAGGGACGTGGATCAGCAGTACAGCACTTGTCTGCCTTATGAGGCCCTGTGTTCAAACTAGATATATTCTCATTCTCTCTCCCTCGCCTTTACAGCAAGGGCTTGTTGTCACTGGAAGTCTGACACCCCACTGTGCAACACACAAAATCAAAAAAGCCCAGAGAAGTTGAAACAGAAATCCCTTCCCAACCTTGGAACCTCAGGGTTAGATGAATCAGGGTGCTGGGCTATACAGTAGGGACGCTGTGCACCCTTGAGAGGACGACACTGTAACTCGTTCAAAGGACATTGCTGGCTTGTGCCTGCCCTGCAACAGATACCCTGATAAATGTTTTGTTTTGTTTTTGAGGCAGGATTTCTCTGTGTAGATTTGGAACCTATCCTGGAACTCTCTCTGTAGACCAGACTGGTCTTGAACCCAGAAATCCGCCTGCCTCTGCCTCCTGGAGGGCTTAAAGGCGTGTGCCACCACGCACAGCCCACTAAATCTTTTTACCGCAAAGCTATTCAGTGGGCAAAGGTGGCATAACCCCCACTTTACATATGAAGAAACTGAGATCCAGGGCTTAATCTGTCTGTGGTCACACTTGTGAGGGAACCTGGATTCCAAATTTGCCTGTCTGACTCAAAAATCTATTGACTTAACCACTGGGTTATAACTAGACAGGGACCCGTGTCATGTGAGAGTACAGTGGATTTTTTTTTCCTTTCAAGCCAGGGTCTATCTGTGTAGTCCTGGTTGTCCTATAACTTGCTTTGTAAACCAGGCTGGTCTTGAACTCCTGGTTTTGCCTCCCAAGTGCTGGGATGGGTGTGGGCCATGACACCTGGCTGTTTGTTTTTTTTTTCAATTTAATTTTCCTTCCTGTCTTACCTATACAGATGTTGTCTATTAGATAAATCTGTGCCTTGTTCATTGCTGGGCACAGGGGATAGCATGGGCTATCAGCACAGATAAACATGAGTATATAGGCTCTGATATAACAGTGACTCTGGAGGGGACTCTCACCAGGGAATAAAGCTTGGGTGATATCTGGACAGTCAGAGGAAGAGGTGTGTTTGCAACAGCCCCACCATGAACTGTGAGCTGAACACTGTCAGGGCATGGCCTGGGGCCTTTGGATACTAATGGAAGAGGGTGACTTTGTCCCTAGATGTTTTTTTTTTTTAACAGAGCCCATGTCCAGGCAATGGCAGAGCTCTTCAGACTGACGAAACCTTTCTGCCCTGGATCTGATGACTCAGTAGTAACTCCTAAGGGTCAGGCAGTGAACACAAGTCATGAGCCGTGGTCCCAGCTACAAGGGTCTCAGAAACCTTCAACAAAAGTTAGCTGACGATAGCAGACCTGTGGTTTGATCTGACCAGTGTTTTGAAGAAGTAAGCAAGCAAACCTAACAAAGCATTTCACATATGGACACTGTAGCACTGTCTGTAACCCTGGCATTCTAGAGGTGGAGGTTACATAGTGAGTTCAAGGCCAGCCTAGGCTGTGTGAAACAGTAAAAAAGCAACAAAGGAGCCGGGTGGTGGCGGCACACATCCTTAATCCCAGCACGTAGGAGGTAGAGGCAGGCTTGTCTACAGAGCGAGTTCCAGGACAGCCAGGGATACACAGAAAAACCCTGTCTGAAAAAACAAACAAAAACCCCTCCTGATGACCCACGTGTGCCCTGGGACTCCACAGAGATGGGGGAGACTCTACAACAATACAGCTATCCTCTGATGACTTCTACATGTGCACCCTGGCACGTGAATGCCACCTCATATTGAGCACAATAATAAATTAAAAACTAAAAATCAGCCGGGCGATGGTGGCGCACGCCTTTAATCCCAGCACTCGGGAGGCAGAGGCAGGCGGATCTCTGTGTGTGAGTTCGAGACCAGCCTGGTCTACAGAGCGAGTTCCAGGACAGGCTCCAAAGCCACAGAGAAACCCTGTCTCGAAAAAAAAAAAAAAAAAAAAAAAAAAAAAAAAACTAAAAATCAAAAAGACTAGGGAGAAAGTTCAATCGTAAAATGCTTGCTCACTACTAACATGAGCCCAAATGTGATCAAAACCCACATAAACTGGCCAGGTGGTGTGATGTGCACTTGGAATCCAGCAGCGGGGAGACTAGTTGATGAGCTCCAGGCCAACTGGAGACTGTCTCCAAAGGGGAGATGGCACTTACATACATGCATGCCCAAATACACACATGTACATATGAACCCACATAGTCTTCGCAGGCATCTTGGGACCCCTTTTCTGCATGGCAGTAAGGGACTGAAGCTGAACAGTGATTATTTGCCAGCTGGACTTGTGGCCACCCTAACTGGTTTTCACACTGCTCAGTTTGCAGTGCTAGGAATGGAATTCGGGGCTTTTGGCATGCTAGCCAGGTGCTCTGCCACCAAGCTTCCTCCCCAGTTCTCACAAAAATGTCATCCTCAGATGAGCTTGTTATGGAGGAAATGGCAAAGAGGCGTGCTTTTGGTTCAACATCTCCAGGACCTTTCTGCTAGGGGAGCCACGGCCCACTTATTCCTAAACCCGTACCCAAGGCTGTCTTGCAGCTTGAAGCCAGTTACAGCCAAGGCATCACTGAGCATCCAGAACCCTCTAACGACACTCACATTCATCCATTAAGGAGAGTCCTCCTTTCCCCTTAGCTCTTCTGGTATGAAAGCTCTCCAGCCAGGTCTCCACCCCAAGGGAAGCACAGGCAGGTCCATGCTACAGCTCAGCCTCAGGGCCTGGGACAAATGCCCACAACTGTGCTACAAGCACACTTCCTGGGGACACTAGTGCCATGGTAGAATGTGGAAGGCATGACACTTCAGGCCTGTTTTCTGGCCAAGAGCTGCCTGGCAGGTTGTCCTTTGTATGCTAGAAAAATATTCTCTCCACAAGCTGTGTCATGAAAAAGACCAAGAACTACTGAGCTGAGAGGCTAGGGAATCTTCACCACAGGCTTCTCTGCAGACACTCCAGGAACCGCCACATCACAGGTCACCAACCTGCCTGGCCATATACTCCCTCACTGTGCACCAGGAACCATGCCAGATGGCAGAGACACAGATTTATGAGATCCTCAGAAGAGCACAAGGAACGGTGGGTTTGGGAGAGTAAGGTCAAGAGAGAAACAGGTTCCCCACAGATGATCAACATTGAAAGGTTATGTCTGAGTTTGAAGCAGATCCCATGGGGAACAGCACACACATCACTGGGGAACAGGACACTAGCTGGAAGCATGGCCTGGCCTGCAAGGGTGACAGGAGGCGTGGATCTGGCCTGCAAGGGTGACGGGAGCCGTGGATCTGGCCTGCAAGGGTGACAGGAGGCGTGGATCTGGCCTGCAAGGGTGACGGGGGGCGTGGATCTGGCCTGCAAGGGTGACGGGGGGCGTGGATCTGGCCTGCAAGGGTGACGGGGGGCGTGGATCTGGCCTCACTGTGGTCACTGGTGAACGATGGAGATGAGCTGGTCAGCCACGGCAAAGACTGGGAGCAGCGGTCGAGGGAAAGACGTGCGGTGGATGTGAAGCACTGTCCCTGAAGCAGGCTCACAGAAGACCAGCTCTCCCGCTTGGAGGTCCAGCAGCACGCCCAGCTGTGCTGGGCACCGAAGCAACGCCAGAGGCTCGTGCTGCCCATTGTGTGAGAAACGGAACTCTTGAGCATAGCGGGAGAAGACCCAGGAGAAGGCATTGTGGCCCAGGCGGCAGTCACTGCCAGAGCCCTTTCGAGGCAGCTGGGCTGAGGCGACGCCCACTTTATAGGCACAGCTGTGCTGAACATTCACTATCCAGGCGTGGAGTCCGGCCTGGAAGGTGGTGGCAGCCAAGGCATTAGGCCAGTGGTCAAAGCGTTCGGGGTCATCTGAGCAGGCCTTGGACTTCTTGGCACTGAAGGTCAGGGTCCGTCGATCTTCAGACAAATGCAGCAAGGGGCTGACAGTCCTTTCATTGATATGCACCTCCTCCATGCCTGTCAGAGAGAATCCTCAGGGTTGTCCCGAGTCCTACCCCTGCTCCATTCCTAATCTGCTCCTACCAGGTAGTCAAAGGCTTCTTACCACTCACTGACCTCAGACAGCCATCTACTCTCCCTAAGCCTCAGTTTCTTCGTCTTTAAAGTACTTGTCACAGAGTAGTCATGGGGACTAGCTAAGGTAGTGTGTGTCAAGTGCCTCACATAAACCATGCTGAGTAGCTAGAGCCAGGAGAACAGTGGCTATTGGTCTAAAATCTTCATGTGCAAATTCTGATCGAAAGAAGTGGGCTGGAGAGATGGCTCAGCAGTTAAGAGTATTGCCTGCTCTTCCAAAGGTCTTGAGTTCAATTCCCAGCAACCACATGGTGGCTCACAACCATCTGTAATGAGGTCTGGTGCCCTCTTCTGGCCAGCAGGCATACATGCAGACAGAATATTGTATACATAATAAATAAATATTAAAAAAAAAAAGAAGTGAGTTGTCCAAGTTCCCACGTCAAGTGGTGGTAGGGTGAAGTGAATACCCAGTATTTTAGTTTTCCCTATCTTACTGCTTTTGAGCTGATCCTATCTGTGGCTTCCAGAGCTGATATCCTGAGGGCAGAGCCCAAAACTAGGAAGCACGACAAAAGCAGTTTTCAGAAGTTAACTATGATACCAGAATCTAGAGCACAACGCTATTACTGGTCATAATAATAATTACATATACATATATTACATGGATAACCTGCAGGGGAGAGTTAAAACTGAGAAAGCTTCAGTCTGTCACCAGGGGACATATGAGCTTCCACCTAACCCAGCGGAATTCTGGGAGACAGTAAGTTTCGCCTCTGACGGTCCAGTATGCAGCACAGGCCAACATTCAACACCAGTCAACGTTTTGTTGGCCTCTTGTGTTTGAGACAGGGTCTCAGATAGGGAGAGAGGCAGCTAGCCTGGCCTCGAACTCAGACGGGGTCTCAGACAGGGGGAGAGGCAGCTAGCCTGGCCTCGAACTCAAGAGTTCCTGCCTCAGCTGCCCAAGCGCAGGGCATCACCACACTCATTTAGGCCAGTGTTTGTTAAGTGAATGGGTGAGGCAAGCCCTGGCAGCTTCACTGTAGTACCAGTGATCTCCAGGTAGATGTCATTCTACTTTAAAAAGGAATCTGAGGTTTCCAATAAATGATAAGGAGCTGTCCCAGTGAGGTGAGATGTTAAGGGGGACGGAACTTATCCTATACCTAACCACAGAGAAACGGGAAGGAAGGATCCGGGCAACCCCTCCCCACCCCCACACACTGCAGGCTGTGCTGCAGTCTCGTAGCTCCTAACCTGAGAGAGACCCGAGGACCGATGTTGCCCAGAGTTGAGTCAGCAGTGGGCTCCAAGCACACTTCTCGTTAAAGCTTAATTTGTCTGACTCCTGGGGATCCAAAATGCCCTCTGCTTCCTCAGCCCTAATGCAGGGGGAAAAAGAGACAGAGGTTCAAGAAGGTTCTGGAAATGCACATGGATCTACATAAGTGAGGAGAAGAAAACAGAAGTGAAATCCTTCCTTTGTAGGTGACACCATGATTGTATTAGCCAGAGGGAAAGTGGCTTTTCCTGACTCCCCCTCCTCAGGGACCTTCATTCCAGCAAAGCAAACAGTATATAGGGAAGTATATTCTTAACTGGTTTTAACAGTGGGGGCAGAGCTTGGAGACACCTCAGCAGTTAAGAGTGCCTACCGCTTCTGCAGAAGTCCCCAACTCCAATACAACCACCTCTCACCCCAATTTCAGGGGATCAGAAAGCTTCTGTGAACACTTGCAAACTCACCAACACACACACACACACACACACATGCAGGCATGCAAACACAGATAAAATAAGTAAAACTTGGGAGTGGAGACTGGAGGCTGTGCGCTCTGACAGCAGAGGTGGGATAGGATCTGGGCCTCTGGAGCTGCTGTGTGATAACATTTCTTTATATACTACCCAGAAAATATCTCACCTCTCTAAAACCCACTGCAACAATAAATGTTTCCCTGGTTGGTCCAAAGATCCCAGCCACTCCTCGGTTCTTAAACACAAACACCCCTAGCTGAGGACCACACAGAATTGGGACATTTAGTCCTCAGGATGGAATTCCTCGAAGCTGGGGAGGTGACTCAATAGGTAAATCACTTGCAGTACAAGTTGAGGACCAAGGGCTGAATCCCCAAAACCCATGTAAAATGTGATGAGGTAGCATGCACCTACGATCCCTGTGCTTCTAGGCAAGACGGGAGGTGGAGAGAGGAAGCTCAAAGGCCAGCTAGCCTGGTGTAGGCTAACAAGGAGACCCTGTCAGAACCAGCATCTGAGATTGTTCTCTGACCTCCACATGCACGATGGTATTTACACACAAGAACATGCAGGTATATATATAGACAACACACAAATACACACACACACACACACACAAACAAACAAAAGAAAAAACCCCATGAGGGCCAGAGAGATGGTTTAGCAGTTATGAGGATTTGTTGCTCTTGTAGAAGACTCTGGTTTAAGTCCCAGAACCCACATGGAAGCTCTCAACCTCTGTAGCTCCAGCTGCAGAGAATCCAATGTCCTCTTCAAATATCCTCAGGCTGCTCCACATCATGGTGCACTTACATACACACAGGCACACACACACACACACATACACACACACACACACACACACACACGATAGATAAATATTAAAATGAGCCAAGAATCTTAAAGGAGGGACTGCCTAAGAGCAGGATGCTGCCTATCCAGATGTTTGGCCTCTGTGTTTACTGTTTTATACATGATCACTTAGACTGTGTTGTAATGGGAAGGTAGTAGGTTCTCCATTCGACACCAGAATGGAGCTTTATGGAAGACACTGAGTAGAAAATGGGAGCTGGATTCAAGTCCTGCTTCCACGTAAAAAAAAGTAGAATAGACTTGGCCCAGTTGAATGAGCCCGGGCACCATTCAACACGTTTCCCCCCTCAACCCGAAATGAAATCTCAAAGGGACAAAAAGTGAAGCAGGAACTCATCTGATACTTTGCAGTCCTCCAACCTGGCTTCTCAGAAGGAATGCTCCTCCACCTCTAATTCTGAAGATGGCCTGAGGCCATCCATCCAGAGGTGCTCCTCTGACGCATGCAGTCTCTGTGAGACTGTCACTTACTGTCCTGGCCTGAAGAATGAGATGAGCAGCCTTAGAAGTGAGGAGGCACAAATGCTGACAAAAGTCCCTGAAAACAAACAAGAGAGAGCCTGTGCTCTCAAAACATAACAGCACAGTGTGGAGAAACCCCAGCTAATGGGGAGACAGGGAGGATCAGTGTCAGCAACTGAGCTGTCCTTCCAGAACAGAGCTGAGACCACCCATCGACTAAAGTCAACAGAGAGCCACCCGTCCAGCTACTGCGTGGGACAGAACACAACATTCATAGCCCCAAGGTACAGTGGGACTTGAATAGAGCAAAGCCTGGCTAGAATCAGAACAGTCTGTCTATGCAGTGGGGACTTGTTGCCACTCTGCCACCAAAGGTGTGGACATACCAGAGCCAACAAAGCAATTCTCATTAGTTAAGTGAGATCCCACCTAGACAGGCCTGACAACAGCTCTTGGGAGAGCACAAAGCACTACACACAAATCTTCAACTCTACCAGTAGGTTTCTCAATGGAAGAAGTACGGACTCAGCAATTCAACAATCATGTGCTGAAGAACTAAGCAAATGAATAAAGCTATTGGCCTTGTTGGGAGCTGAGATTCTTTTCTGGTTATTATTATTATTATTAATATTATTATTATTGGTGGTGGTGGTGGTAGTGGTAGCGGTGGTTTTTTGAGAGAGGGTATCTCTATGTAGCCCTAGCTGTCCTGGAACTATGTGGATCAGGCTGGCCTTGAACTCACAGAGATCTATCTGCCTCTGTCTCTCAAGTACTGGGATTAAAGGCAAGGGCTATCAGGTCTAGCCTAGGAGCCAGGGTTCTTAGTATAAGATACAAATATGAAACTGGAGGCAGGCAAAGGCAGTGTTAACTGCAGTGTTAGACTGGAATTAGAAGTTATGATACAGATTCATGCATAAGAAGTTACAAATATCCCCCAACTCTGATTAAAGGTCCAGTACAATGACATGTCAGTAGCAGTGAGAACACTTAATGTCTCATACTGGCTTTGTGATATCTCATCCTACTAAAAACAGATATAAGACCCCTGGAGAAACAGCTGGTTCCAGGGCTGGGGCAGGCAAAATCCAATCTGAACCAGGGATAACTGGGTAAGAATGTGTACCACATGTGTGTCTGGCACCCAAGGAGATCAGAAGACATCAGATTATGGGTTGCAAGCCACCTTGTGGGTGTTGGGAACCAAACCCAGGTCCTCTGTCAGAAGAGTAAGGTCTCTTAACTGCTGAGCCACTCTCCAACCCTCCCACCCCTGGGGACATCTTTTGTGCCACAGTAAGAAATACTCAAAGAAGAGGGGACCTGTCAAACAGACAAGCCAGTGACTGGTCAAACGCAGGCAACCTGAAGGCCAAAGCAACCACAGCGGCAGCGGGGCTTTACTATGCAGCAGAGAAGATCAGAATCTGTGACTGGCACTGGTTCCAAATAAGAGGGAATAAGTGAGAAAATAAATGAACAACTTGGGCAGAAATTAACATGGGTGCAAACGTAATAGCCTTGATAACGGGACAGTGACATCACAGCCCAGGCTATATATATCATTAAAAACAGCCCAGGCTATATATATCATTAAAAACAGCCCAGGCTATATATATCATTAAAAGGAGGCAAAAAAGAAACACACATGAAGCCACATATATTCCAATTAAATAAGAAATCCAAAATCCCAAATCTAGTCAGAGTTTGGAATCCCACATCTGAGACTGGTGCACAGACTCGGTGGATAAAGGTGCTTGCCAGAGAGCTTGGCGACCCAGGACTCACACGGTGGTAGCAGAGGAACAGCTCCCACAAGTTGTCCCCTGACCCACACATGAGCCATGGCACCCGCATGCACCTACACACACGAAGTAATTAACTATTTCTTAAAACCAACCACATCTCTAGGGAAACAGATTGGGAAGGGTTGATTTGATAAAGGCTCGCTTTCCATTTTAAATCTTTTTCATTTTAGAGGCTGGGAATTGAACCCAGAACTTTGTACAAACCAGGTAAAAGCACTGTATACCAAACAATAACCCTATTGGGATTGGCTAATCACCTTGCCTGGCTAATTTTATCCATTTGGTCATTTCCTCAGGCCCTGGCTTCTCAACCTTCTAGCATTCAGAAATGACCTGTTGAAATTCCTTAACTACTTAACAATTAAGATGGGAAATTTGAGTGGTAATGCAGCCTTAAGTCTTAAAAACTCGTTCACTGCAGAAAGAAAGGTAGAGGAGACACCAAGGACACAGGTATCAGTGAGTCCAGGCCCCAGTTCTGAGTTTCAGGGTTCTTATCGAGGGTAACCATAGTTGAAGTAGGATAAAGTTTAGGAAAGCTCAGGGCAAGGCCCTAGCTAATAAGTATTTGCTTCACTTCCTTTCGATAGGGATCTGAAGAAGACGTGGAGGGTGAGAAGGCATGGGCCTGACCTCTGACCTTGGAGCTAGGCTAAAGCTTAGCTAAAACTTCCTAAAGGAAGTTGCAATGGCCTGGGAAGAAGGAAGGGGGACTCAGTGACAGCCTGAGCAAGTTATAGGGACACACTCACCTCTCAACAATCTCGTGCTCCTTCTGCTGCAAGAGAGGAAAACATAGTCAGGCTGGCAGCAGACACCCAGTGTGTGAACATGACCTGCCACATTTCCCTGCACACAACTGTGTGGATGCCGGCTTCACAACAAAGGCCTAGCCTCCTAACACACAAAAATGAATCAGCCATTGCCCCTCCCCTGTGGCAAACCAGGCTCCTCTCAATTCCAGTTCAGCACCATCTTCCACAGAGCCAGTGCCACCCGCCATGGAGACCTCCTGCTCTCAGAGGCCTGTGAGGGTCCCAGTTGCTGGGACAGGGTGTGCCCTTGCCTGGAAGCTGGTGCCGAGTAAATTCACAATCGAGGGTAGTCAGACCACATTCCTGTTTGTTCTTCATTCCTCCTCTGCTGGTAGACACTCAGGTGTCTACTGTCCCTCAAAACTGGAGGCTTCTGCATATCTATAAAGTACTTTGAAAAGCAGTGCACTAAATACTAGTTGCGATTATGTCTGGTAAACCCAAGAATGTGTTGTTTATATTGGGGCCTTATCTGCACCAAGTGCTGCCTTCTCCCCAGTGCTTCTGAGCACTCTGCACACCCCAACTCCCTGCACCTGGGTACCTTTCTCATTACTTCAAAGTCACTTCATCCAGGAAGCTCTGTGGTCCATCCCTCCTGCCTTGTGGGTGTTCTGACCTCCGATGGATTCCTCTACTACCATGACACATTCTACTTGTCAGTTTATGTAGCAACTCTTAGGTAGAGCTCAGAACAACTGCAGCTGTGCCCTGTGACTCTGCCCCATTACATAACACAAAGGCACTCAGTAAGTATTTGCTTGCTGTTGAAAGTATATCGTTATCAGGTGCCAAATACTCAGATCATTTTATTTCCCGTCTCATGTTAAGAAGATATGATATTAAACATAGTAAAGAAGATAGCTATAGGGACTACTGCCAGGGGATCTTGCAGTAGGCGAGAGAGATTGAGTTCAACTTTGAATGCAGCATGGGAATTGATGGCCATGGAGCAGGGTGGGATCACTGTGTGGAAAATCACTAACAGCAGTGGTTCTCAATCTTCCGAATGTCTGACCCTTTAATACAGTCCCTCATGTGAGGTGACCCCATCATAAGATTATTTTCATTGCTACTTCATAGCTGTAATTTTGCTGCTGTACAAATCATAATGTCAATATCTGTGATTCCCAACCCCAGTGAAAGGGTTGTTCAGCCCCCTAAGGGGCCGCAACTGCTGACTAAAGAGGAAACATTGAGGGGGAGGGGGATCCTAGCTAAACCTACCTGACAGGATTCTTGCTAAAGACAGACCAGGGTGACCTTGGGGATAGTGGAGAGGTGGAATCTGATAAATGCCAAGGGCTATCAGATGTCAGTGGTGGGGGCTTTTGGCCAAGCTGATTTAGCTGGGTTCTTTGCTACAGAAGCATAATGATGGGCCAGAATAGAAACAAGTCTGGTAGAGATCACTGTCACTCATCCCTGTCCCAAGGCCATCTTTTTGGCATTCTTGAGGTCTTCAAATCTAGGGGAACCTGGCCAACCTTCTGTGTCCTCACCCTCTCCTGACTTACAATCAGCTGGAGGTCATTCAGATGGGTGAGCATGCCCACCAGGCTGGTACGGAGGGTGTCCAGCTTTCTCAGTGCCTCCGTCCAATGTGCCTGCTGAGTCAGGATACTCTGGTGAGCCCGCTCCTCTTCACCGAGCACCTGCTCCAGCAGCCGCTGTTCCTCACTCTCACACAGGCTCCTCACCAGGCTCATCCTCTGGATAACCAGCTCCCTCGCCGCACTAGCCATGCTCTGGCAAGGGATAAGATGAAGAGTCAGAGACAAAGTCAGAGACAAAGTCCCAGTCACAAGTAGGAGAGGAAGTACGGGCGTAGCAGAAACGATGCCAACATTGATTGACAGTGTCTGCCAGGGGCTGAGTACAGAGAACAAAGGGATTCGAGCCATTTACTTTGACACCCTAGCATTTAGAGTTCGGAAGTGTGGCATAAAAGATACAAACATCCAGGCCATGTCTCAGAAGGTCATGACCACAGTTTAAAATGCGTGCGGGGCTTAGAGATGAACCAGCATTGGGAACATGATGGTCATGGGACAAAAATGAAGGAATCATAGTGATCATAGGGCACAATGGCCTTGAAAGTTATTCTCATCAGCCAGACCAATACAAACCAGGCTCCAGTTGAAATTTCACCTCGCCTCAGAGCCAGAATCTTGTCCCCTCCTAAGGCTTGTCCATCCCAACTGGTTCCAACAACAGAGTTTTTAATGTGCCATCAAGGGGCTCTGAAAAAACTTTCAGCTAAAGATGTTTTTTTGTTGTTGTTGTTGTTGTTTTGTGTATTCGTTTTTGTAAGTTTTTCGAGACAGGGTTTCTCTATGTAACCACCCTGGCTGTCCTGGAACTCACAGAAATTTGTCTCCCTCTGCCTCCCGAGTGCTGGGATTAAAGGACTATGCTACGTTGTCTGGCTCAGCTAAGGATGCTAATGTACATCGTCTTCTGACTCCCAGTGGTCAGGTTCTGGCTGCAGTAGGTACCTCCAGACACACTCGGTGACTGAGCGGGAGACTTCCTGTCAGCCTTGACACTGCGAGCATCCTCCCAACTGTCATCTAGCCCTGCTCCCGAGGCCCAAGGACGGTGGCTTCTCTGGGCCCTGCGCCTGCAGACCTGCTTTGTACAGTTCAGGAAACAGTCATCCTTCTTTTGTAGAAGAAACCGAGACCCATATCTTCACAGCGTGGAGGACAACAGCTTAGTGAATATAAAGGAAGCTCACTTGAGTCTGAAGCACACTGACTTCATCTGTACCTGCAGCTCACTTGCTCTCCTGGCCTTTACTTTCGCTGCCTATGGCCACTTCCTACTATAGCTGTTCCTTTTTAAACTGAAATCCCAATCTGTCTGTGATCCTGTGTGTGTACGCGTGTGCACCACATGCGTGTCGGATCTCCAGGAGCTGAAGTTAAGTGCAGTTCTGAGCTGCCCAAAGTAGGTACCAGCAACCAAACTCAGGTTCTCTGGAAGAGCAGGAAGTGTTCTTAACTGCTGAGCCATCCTTCTAGTCCCCAAATTGAAGTCTTTTGCCTTATTAATAAATAAAAACAAAAAACCAACCTTTTTAGTATTTGTCTTTATATCTGAAATGAAGGCAACCCCCCTGTGACCGAACCTCTTGTTTCTCTGATTTTACTTCTTCCTGCCATCTCCCCTGTTCACACTGCTTCAGCCTCGCAGGACCTTCTGCCCCAGAAGCTCGGGCGCCCTCTGCCCAGGCCTTTTGCACTTGATGACCTGTCTAGACACTCTTCGCGCAGTTGTGCGCGTCACTGCTCCTCTTCCTAGGTCTCTGAGCAAATACAAACCTTTTGTTCAAACTTTTCTTTATCGTTATTGTGTATGTGTGCATGAGTAGGCATGTGCACACCACAGTGCACATGTGGAAGAAAGAAGACAACTTTATAGAATTAGTCTCTCCTATCTTTATGTGGCTTCCAGGAACAAACTTAGGTCAGCAGGCTTTTGCAGCAAGCAATTTACCTCTGTTTTGTTTTTGTTTCTTCAAGACAAGATTTGTCTGTGTAACAGCTCTGGCTGTCCCGGAACTCACTTTGTAGACCAGGCTGGCCTGGAACTCAGAGATCTGTCCGTCTCTGCCTTCTGAGTGGTGGGATTAAAGGCGTGGCTACCACTGCCCAGCAATATCAGCTTTTCTTGATGAGAGCATTCCTTGGGGCTGGAGAGATAGGTCAGCTGTGAAGAGCACTTGTTGCTCTTGCAGAGGATCTGGGATTGGTTTCCAATACCCACATGGTGGCTCACGGCCATCTATAAGTCCAGTTCTAAGGGATCCAATGCCCCCTTCTGATCTGTGCTGGTGCCAGGCACACATGTGGTGCGCACACATACATGTAAGCAAAACAATCATACACATTAAAATAAAATTTAAAAAGTCTAAAATTTTGTGGGAAAAAAGGCACTAGTCTTTTTGGCTTTGAACCCAAAGTCACCAGGATTCTGCTATCTCGTCCCACAGCCTGTGTGCTGACAGAAGCAGCCAGCTCCTCAGTAGAAATGAGGCTGTAAGCCTGGAAAGGGATCTGAGACTGTGCTAGACCTGGGCTAGAGTCTTAGCCTAGGGGGAGGCCCGGTGCCAAGAGTAAACGAGAATTACCACTGCTTTCTGGTTCTTCCCTTGCAGGACCTCCGCCACATACTTGGTGATGCCCGCGCTCTGTAGCTGCAGCCTCTCACACTGGTCCACAATCTTGTTCTGCAATACAGACGGCATTACTGTGTCTTTATTCATGCATATGGGCCACTCACTCATCCGAGCGGTTTTTCCCTTTTACTCTACCCTTAGTCACCCACTCCCATGGTTCAAATCCAGATATCATCACATCAGAAACAATTATGTTCCCAAAACCTTATGTCAAGGAACCCATATAAGCCTATTGTATCTTTCCTTCCAGCTCACCAATGCTGGGCTCCCTATCCAGTTACTCATTTGGGGCCATCAAGACACTTGGTGATGGGGGAGTGTCATATATCAATCTGTTGATTACATTGGTTAAGCAATAAAGAAACTGCTTGGCCCTCATAGGTTAAAACATAGGTGGGAGGAGTAAACAGAACAGAAGCCTGGGAGAAAGAAGCTGAGTCAGGAGTCGCCATGATTCTCCCACTCCAGGCAGATGCAGGTTAAGATCATTCCTGGTAAGCCAGCTCGTGAGCTACACGGATATTAGAAATGGGCTAGTCCAGGTGCGAGAGTTAGCCGAGAAAAGGCTAGATATAATGGGCCAAGCGGTGTTTAAAAGAATACAGTTTCGGAGTAATTATTTCGGGTAGAGCTAGCCATGTGGGCGGCCGTGATGGAGGAAGGTCATTGGTTAAATAAAAAGAAAATGCTTGGCCCTTATTGGTTAGAAGATAGGTGGGAGGAGTAAACAGAACAGAACTGCTGGGAGGAAGAGGAAGTGAGCTCAGACTCCACAGCTCTCCTTTGGGGAGCAGACGCCTCAGAGAGATGCCATGCTCCCAGCTTTCAGGCAGACACATGCGATGAAGCTCCGACCCAGGGTGGACATAGGCTAGAATCTTCCCGGTAAGCGCACCTAGGGGCGCTACACAGATGATTAGAAATGGGCTAAATTAATATGTGAGAATTAGCCTAGAAGAGGCTAGATAGAAATGGGCCAAGCAGTGATTAAATGAATACAGTTTGTGTGTTGTTGTTTCGGGCATAAGCTAGCCAGGCAGCCGGGTGCCGGGGACACAGCCCCGCCACTCTTATTACTACACAGCCGGGTGCTGGGGACGCAGCCCCACCGCTCCTATTACTACAACTTGGGTCTTTTTTTTATGATTTATTTATTTATCATGTAGACAGTATTCTGTCTGCGTGTACACCAGAAGAGAACACCAGATCTCATTACAGATGGTTGTGAGCCACCATGCAGTTGCTGGGAATTGGACTCAGGACCTTTGGAAGAGCAGTCAGTGCTCTTAACCTCTGAGTCATCTCTCCAGCCCATACTTGGGTTGTGTTGGGTCTGTCCCCAACCCTCCTCCCTCACCTCACCACTACTTCCACTTCTGTTATTCTAGCCAGATGGTCACCACCTCAGAGGAACCCTGTTAGACCGCCTCCGCATTACCACAGCCATGTCCAGTTCAAAACCTCCCAGTGGTTTTCCAATACAGTGAGAATAGGCCTCTTATCTGAGCTGCAGGTCCTACCTGGAATAACTCTTTGTCTCCTACGCCACCTCCTACTTCACACAAACCTTCATTCAGTTACTTAACAACACCAGATTTACCAGCCTGCCCGAGGGCCTCTGGGCTTGTTACTTCCTCCTTCAGTCTTAGCCTCCCCCAATTGTTTTACTCCCTTGATCTGCCCTTATGCCTCCTCCTCGGGGAAGCTCACTGACTCACCCTGACTCTGTCCTGCTTTATTTCTCATAGCTGCTGACTACATCTTGTATGCTTTCCTGCATATAAAGGGCCTTAAATAAATATTAATTGATATGAAGTCTCATTGCTTTGATCACAAGTGAGTCGGTAGTGTTCTGTTCCCAAAGTCACGAGCATCAGCCATCAAGGGGCAGGGAATGGGTTGGGAACGAGGGAGCTGAGGCAGATGGCTAGCTGGCTTAAACCCAGGCCTTTCCCACTCCTTCACAGGAGGTAACAGCTGCGGCACTTCCAGGTACCAATCCCTCCGCTGCTCCCCAGAAGAACTGGCCCCAGTGCCATTCGCCACAGGCGGTCCAGTTACCTCTTCCAAGAAAGTCTCCCAACCCCGTCCCATCACGTACCAAGGGACGAGAGAACTGAGCTTAGCTATTGTCCTTTTTTATTTTATTTTATAAATAAAGCATGGGTATATCTGACCCTCCACTTTTTTATGACTTACATGAAACAGAATATGCTATTTTAGAACTCTTTTCAGTTAGTATTATGCTGTTCCAGATTTTTAAAAATGTATTTCATGTATCAGTGTTCTATCTACATGTATGTTTGGACACCAGAAGACATCAGAATTCATTATAGATGGTTGTGAGCTGCCATGTGGTTGCTGGGAATTGAACTCATGACCTCTGGAGGTGCTGCAGTGCTTTTAACTGCTGAGCCGTCTTTCCAGTCCTTATCCTTTTTTTCTTTAAAAAAAAAGTTTTAGCCAGGTGGTGGTGGCCCATACCTTTAATCCCAGCACCTAGGAGGCAGAGTCAGGCAGATCTCTGAGAATTCGAGGCTAGCCTGGTCTACAAGAGCTAGTTCCAGAGCATGCTCCAAAGCTACAGAGAAACCCCGTCTTGAAAAACCAAAAAAAAAAAAGTTTTATTAGTGTATACTAACTATATAGACGGTCCACGTGACTCTCCCATCACATCACCCTTCACCCACTAGCGCCCCCCTCCACCCTGATCCTCTCTTCCTTCATGCTCCCCCTTCTAAGGTTCATGTCTCTTTTTTCTTTTTTAATTTTTATTTATTCTGACGATTATTATCTTATTGCGTTGGTGTTTTGTCTGCATGAATGTCCTGGTGAGGGTGTCAGAACTCTTGGAGCTGGAGTCACAGACAATTCTGAGCTGTCATGTGGATGCTAGGAATTGAACCTGGGTCCTCTAAAAGACGCCAGTGCTCTTAACTGCTGAAACATCTCTTCAGCCCTTCTTTTTTCCTTTTTATTACTTAAGACATTTTTTTTTCTTTTGAGATAGGATTTCTCTGTATAGCTCTGGCTGTCCTAGAACTCATTTTTAGACCAGGTTGGCCTTGAACTCGAAGATTCTCCTGCCTCTACCTGCCAAATGCGCAGACTAAAGCTACTGGCTTTTTTTTTTTTTTTAAAGACAAAGCTTTATTATGGAATCCGAACTGGCCTCAAATTCACCATCTCTTGCCTTACTCTCTCAGGAGTGCGGCACCACACCCAGCTTAGGCTGTCTTTCTATGGCTTGTGTCCAGGTTCCCCATGAGACACAACACGTGGCAGTCGTCTGTCTGATCAGGCTTGTTTCAGTCCACTTCCCTCCATCTTCCTTCCAAACCACGTCATTTTATTCTGCATTAGAGAATAATACCTAATGTGTCTATGTATGAGAATATATCCGTATTTTTCTTATCCAGTCTTCCGACAATGGGCACTTTGGCTGGTCCCTAACTCGAGCCCATCTGCTCACTCACTTTGAGGCATGGGTCCGGAAGTTAAGAGCGGGTGAACCCGGTGCTATTTTGCCTAGGGCAATTTCTCGGCAGGATGGAGGGCAGGAGGGGTGGAGGGAAGGAGGGGTGGAGGGAAGGAGGGGTGTGTGCTAGGGCTAGGGGTGTAGCTCAGGGGTAGAGTCTAATATGCCCGAGGCTCTGGTTAAACCCAGCACCAAAAATGCAAAGCAAACAAACAAAACCACAAAATCTAAAGTAGAAGGGGAGAGATTTGCTTCCTTCAAGCCAAGGCCAAGCACGTGTGTAAGGTCTTAGGGTGGCCCAGAGAAGGCTCCTGGGGCATAGCACCATGCCTGCCACCCTGCCCCAGCTTTCACCCCTCCCACTGCTCAGATTCAAGGCTTTCCATTAGGTCCTTTCCTCTTCCTAACCACTAAGGTCAAGCAGTGGTTTCCTCTTGCCCAGTCAATGAATCTTGCCCTCTGAGCCCTGAACATTAGGAGTCTGGGAGGAGTCACCATCCTGCTGTGGGTCTCCTCCTCATCTGAAAAACCTGAATTCAAACCCACACTTCCAAAGCCCAGCCTGGGTGGAATGAGATGATAAATATCTAAGTCCTTAGGAATTTGTAAAATGCTCACCCATGATGCAAGCTGATTCTATCAACTTTACTCAAGTTTATTTTCATCATGGCTGAGTAACTGAACCTTGCTGGCCGCAGTTTCCAGCAAGGTATGTTTATTACAATCTGGTTGAGTAGCTGATGTCCCTAGAATGAACAGCAGGGCTCAATGCCAGGGTGGGGTTGGGAGAATTAAGCCATTTAATAAAATTGCAAAGAGTTCCCCAGGGGCCACAGCTAGAATGAAAGCACCAAGGTGACTTGGCCTCCAACCTCAGAAGTTCAGGGGAAAGGGTGGGGGTGGAGGGATAACAGGAAGTGACCAGCCTAGAGCCACACGGGAGATGGGGAGGCCTTGAGTCCTGCCATTCTCCCCATCCTGGTTCATCAACTTCACGTCAAGTCAAGGCCAGGTTGGAAGAGAACTAGAGCCCTCACCAGAAAACCTGAGGGGAGGGGAGGAGACTCTCAGTCAAGGGGTGTGAGGGAACTGAGTTTTTCTGAGGTCAGCTATAACAAACGCGCGGTATTATGAATGTCCGGAAACTACCGGTGAAATATAACAAGCTAGGTTCCGTGACTCCCGGGAATGGGTAGAATTCGAAATCGGATCCAGCTTAATCCAGAGGTCACACCTCTAACCACCTAGTTCCCAAAGGGAAGCCACAGAGAAGCCAGGCCCCGCCTCCCGAGTCCGAGAGCAGTCACCCCAGTTCCCGGCCCCAAGCCCGCTCACTCGCAGCTCCTCGGCGTGCTTCTCCGCCCTGCGGATGCGGTGCCCGTGACAGCGGCCGCCCAACCTGGCGCAGGCTGCGCACACCGGCCGCCTCTCGAAGAGGCAGAACAAGCTCAGAGGCTCTCGGTGCTCGGAGCACAGCTGGTCCGGCACGGACGCCGGCCCGGACGCCGGCCCGGACTCTGGCTCGGACCCCGGCTCGGACCCCGGCCCGGACCCCGGCTCCCAGGCGTCCGCGGACATGGCCGAGAGCCGGGCGCTCCACCTGTCGCAGGTGCCGGGCACCGGGTTTCTTTCGCCCACGCCCTTCCAGGCCCCGCCTTCCCTGACCCCGCCCACACAGTCTGCGCCCGCGCGCTAACCACCTTTGTACGATTAAGTTGTATAGTGCCTGAGTCTTTAAAGCAAACAACTAACAACCAATATTCTAGTGACTGAAAGAACTTTAGTGAGCACTTACGAAGTGTCGGTTTTTTGCTAAGTGCTTTAACTGCTGGTTTGAGAGGCAGCTTTAGGCAGATAATTTTAAAGCCAGGCTCCCCTCTTAGTCCCTCACTGGGCTTGAGTGTTAAAAAGGATTGAGACTATTTCTCTAACCTATTTGGAGTAGATAAATGAAAACACATGAAATGAGCCAGGTGCGGCGCACAAATCTGTAATCCCATTATTTAAGAGATGGAGGTGGGAAGAATATCCGGAGTTCATGGACATCCTTGAGCCTAGGAAGGTTGACCTGTCTCAGAGACATAAAATCAAAACACAAGCCATAAGTGGCGGCACACGCCTTTAATCCCAGCACTCAGGAGGCAGAACCTGCTGGACTTCCGTGAGTTAGAGGCAGCCTGATTTACATAGCAAGTTCTAGGCCAGCCAGAGCTGCAGAATGAGAAGACACTGTCTCAAAACAAAACAAAATAAAAGTCTACAACAAATCAAAAAAGCATAAACAGTGTTGCGCACACTGCAGCTGAGCACTGCTCACAGTGTGGAAAGCACTATTATGGCACATTTTTAAAATGAGCTTTGTTTTTCAAGACAGGGTTTCTTGGTGTAATCCTGGCTGTCCTGAAACTCACTTTGTGAACGGGCTGGCCTTGAGCTCAGAGATCCGCCTGTTTCTGCCTCCCAAGTGCTGGGATTAAAGGCGTGCGCCACCACTGCCCGGCAGCTCATTTTTAATCACCTTTATTCAGTGTGTATGTGTGTCTCAGGGTTTTTATTGTTGTGAAGAGACACCATGACCACAGCAACTCTTATAAAGAGAACATTTAACTGAGGGGGCTCAGTTACAGTTTCAGAGACTTAATGCATTACATTAATAATTCAGTGGTGTGCTGGCAGAAGAGGCACTGGAGGCAGCGAGGCAGGATCCTGAGCATATAAAAGCTCAAAGCCCACTCCCGCAGTGACACACTTCTGCTAGCTAGGTTGTTCCCACTCAGACCAAGTCATACCTCCTTGTAGCGCCAGTTCCTGTGAGATTATGGGGCCCAGTTACATTCAAACTCCCACAGTGTGTGTGCGTTTGTCTAAATACATGGAAGTACATGTTCCACAATGCACTTGTAAACCAGAGTAAAACCAGCAAGAATGAGAGCCCTCCTTCCACCATGTGGGTTCTGGAAATTAAACCAAGATTATCAGACTTGGCCTTCACCTTCGGAGCCGTCCCACCCTGGTTAATATTTTATGGAAATTAAACGACATATAGAGTTGAAGTGACTGATTGACGCCAATAACGCCAAAACCCAAGCACTGACTTAAGGCTACCAGGATGATTAAGTTTTAAGTTACAACAATTGAGACCCATTGGGAAGGCTGATTTTTCAAGCATATTTCCACTCAAATTTTCTGAATTTGATTATTTGGGCTTTTTCTTTTTTAAATTCAGTAAAGTCATGAATCTAAAAGAAGATGAAATATATAACTAATAAATAAATTAAAAAAATAAATGGAGGCACTCCTGCTTAAAAAAAAACACACAACTTTTAAGTACACTATTGCGTTTTCTGTTTTCTATTCCAAGCTTCTTCTGCCTTAACAATTTATAATCCTTGTTGTGTTATTAAAAACGGATGGCCTAAGTGATATTACTTATAATCTTAGTGTATAGAATTACACACCCATTTTTCATTTTTTCTGTTTAAGTATTTTCTTGCCTTTTTGCTTTTTGGAAGGCCATTTTCATATTTGAACATTGAGCACTAAATACTAATAAACATGAAAATCTAAAAAAAAAAGAAATATATAACTAAGTATATAAGGGAGGAAAAACAAAACTCCACTCCAAGAACAACTAACTGCTAAGGCACACTGGAGGCTCCCCTGCCTCTCTCTGTATCAGGCTGAGCCTGAAGGGGCCCTCTGCTGGGCGTGCAACACAGCGTGCCTGACATGAGGGGGGGACCTGCTCCTCCCTCAAAACTGGCCTCTTGGGGGCTCAGGCTTCTCTACTCTGAAAACCCTTTAAGCCCCTGTGACATAAAGGGGATGGGGCCTTTCCTCTGCAGCCCTGGTTTAGGCCCAGATGTGAATGCAGCTGAGGGAACTCAGAGTAGTAGTAAGTAGAACCACCCTTCCAGTAGGGACACAAGACCACACAAATGCACAAATCTTATATACCAGTTGTCATGGAGAGAATATCGGAATGTAGAGTTGTTCATCCTATCCTCCGCAGCTGTAGGTCCTGGGTCAGGATGGCTGGGTCTTCTGGCCGGCCGCTCCTCAGTGCTCAAGGAGGACAACAGTGTATCTCACTTAGAGAACTGATCTGTGCACCAGATCTGAGCACTCTCTCTGTGCACTCTCACTGTGCACTCTCACTGTGCACTCTCACTGTGCACTCTCTCTGTGCACTCTCACTGTGCACTCTCTCTCACTGAGCACTCTCACTGTGCACTCTCATCCTTGCACTCTCACTGTGCACTCTCACTGTGCACTCTCACTGTGCACTCTCATCCTTGCACTCTCTCTGTGCACTCTCTCTGTGCACTCTCACTGTGCACTCTCACTGTGCACTCTCACTGTGCACTCTCTCTGTGCACTCTCACTGTGCACTCTCTCTGTGCACTCTCTCTGTGCACTCTCACTGTGCACTCTCACTGTGCTCTCTCATCTGTGCACTCTCACTGTGCACTCTCATCCTTGCACTCTCACTGTGCACTCCCACTGTGCACTCTCATCTGTGCACTCTCACTGTGCACTCTCACTGTGCACTCTCACTGTGCACTCTCACTGTGCACTCTCATCCTTGCACTCTCTCTGTGCACTCTCACTGTGCACTCTCATCTGTGCACTCTCACTGTGCACTCCCACTGTGCACTCTCACTGTGCACTCTCACTGTGCACTCTCACTGTGCACTCTCACTGTGCACTCCCACTGTGCACTCTCACTGTGCACTCTCACTGTGCACTCTCACTGTGCACTCTCACTGTGCACTCTCACTGTGCACTCTCATCTGTGCACTCTCACTGTGCACTCCCACTGTGCACTCTCACTGTGCACTCTCACTGTGCACTCTCACTGTGCACTCTCATCTGTGCACTCTCATCTGTGCACCATATCTGTGCACTCTCATCTGTGCACTCTCACTGTGCACTCCCACTGTGCACTCTCACTGTGCACTCTCATCCTTGCACTCTCACTGTGCACTCTCACTGTGCACTCCCACTGTGCACTCTCATCTGTGCACTCTCACTGTGCACTCTCACTGTGCACTCTCACTGTGCACTCTCACTGTGCACTCTCATCCTTGCACTCTCTCTGTGCACTCTCACTGTGCACTCTCATCTGTGCACTCTCACTGTGCACTCCCACTGTGCACTCTCACTGTGCACTCTCACTGTGCACTCTCACTGTGCACTCTCACTGTGCACTCTCACTGTGCACTCTCATCTGTGCACTCTCACTGTGCACTCTCATCTGTGCACTCTCATCTGTGCACCATATCTGTGCACTCTCACTGTGCACTCTCATCTGTGCACTCTCACTGTGCACTCCCACTGTGCACTCTCACTGTGCACTCTCACTGTGCACTCTCACTGTGCACTCTCATCTGTGCACTCTCATCTGTGCACCATATCTGTGCACTCTCACTGTGCACTCTCATCTGTGAAATTTTTAATTTGGAGGTTTGGCATGGACCAGGAAGGAGAAATGCCTTTATTACACACGAGGATTAGAATGTACTCATTGCATGTTCTGGATGCAGATCGTGTGAGGTTCTTGGAGGGAGGGTGGTGTGGAAAGCGGGCTAGGGAGCTGGAGAGATGGTTCCGTGGTTAAGACTGATGACTGCTCTCACAGAGATCTCTGTTCTGTTTCCAACACACAAGCACCTATAACTCCAGCCCCAGGGAATCTAACAACCCACACGATCACCCGTCCTCATGCGCACGTACCCACTTGGAAACACGTAATTGAAAAATAAATCTTAACGATAAATAAATTAAAAGTTCTTTTAAAATAAAGGTGGATACCCAAAACGACATCTTTCCTCCTCTCAAGCTGAGATGGAAGTAGGCCATAGTAATTAGGAATTATCATTAGATTTTGTCATTGCTGCTGTTCAAAAGAAGCAGCTGTGGGGACAGAGAAAGATACTCCATGAGGTCCTTGAGAGAAGCTGGACGCCTTCTTTGGGGGTACCCCTGAGAGGGCCCTACAGAGCTACAGGCAAACCACTAGACGTACTTCAGGAAAGGTATTGGCATATACAGAGGGCCAAGGGGGTTCATCTGTCCCACTGCCAGCCCTAAGGGAATTTCACACAAACCTTCTGAGGCCATGTTTAGGATACTACACTCTGGATAATGTTGACCTGAACTAAGGTGGTGGCTAGAGCAGAATAGACAGGCTTTTATTTTTAGGATAAATAAGAGGCTGACCTGAGAAAGTCTGGGTGGTTCTTGAACAAGGAAGAGGAAGAAGTTACAAATGGCTGCCCCGTGGAAAGTGTAGCAGGGTCTGCACGACACTCAGAAACTCCCACACATAACTTTAAAGTCGCTGGGGGATGGGAGATGGGCTGTTGAGAAATGGGTTTTCTAGTACGAAATTTGTAGCACACTTTTTTTTAGGCCACCAGCCAGCTCCCAAATCATGACATGGAGACTTATTATTAGTTTTGAATGCTTGGCTTTAGCTTAGCTCTTATTTTAATATGTTCTCTTTATCTACATTTTGCCTCCGAGCTTGTTTTCTTTCCTTCTTTCTTCCTTCCTCTCCTTCCTTCCTTCCATTCCTTTTTTCTTTCCCTCCCTCCCTTTCCTGCTGTCTTTATGTCTGG